TATATATATATATATATATATATATATATATATATATTTAAATATAAATATAAATAAGGGCTGGGCGATATAGCTAAAAAATGTATCAAGATATATTGTTTCATATTGTTCGGTATCGATAATGATTGACATTTTTATAACCTTTTTTTAAAACAAGGAGCAATAGAAAAAAAATGTTTAAATTTAACTACTGTATTTTTAAATTAACCCAATTTATTGAGACAAACAACAAATGTTTTTGTTTTAACAATCAAACACAAAATACAAATTTAATTAATATCTAATTTCTAATGTTTTATATGCAGATTAAATAGGTCTTAAGGAAACTTTAGTCTTGTCTCTTGAGGCCACAGGAGGGTGCAATGAGCAAAATAATGCAGCGCATTTAAATTGTCAACGCAAGAAAGTAACTCTATAAAAAAAACGTAAATTACATCTAAATTAACTCATAAAAATCAAATATAATTTCGTAAATTACATAAACAATTATGAACAAAACGGCATCATGTATTTATGCACTGCTTAATCCAAAGAGCCGAAGTGCCATTCACACAGATTGCATTTAAAAACATATGAGATGCAGTGAAAAGGAATAAACCTCCACAAATTCGTGATGTGTTTTCTAAATGTTTAAGCTGTTTTAACTTTGCATGGCTACATCTCTTGTGTGAGACACGAGTGCAGCAGTCATATTTGTCTGTAAAAAATGCGCTGAATATGCATCTGTGTGAATGGCTTGGTTTTGGTTTTCAACTAATCTAGATCTTCTCCGCATTGAACTTCAATGTTTCTCTAATATTTTGAATGCATAACACAGCAGCGGCACATCTCGTGGGCTAGACTAACAAAACATTAAAATGCAACAATTCACTTCATCACTGCATCTCGTGCGCCACTGATGACGCTCCCTGATGCACACCTAACACTCAAATGCAAATGTTTATTTTAAATTCGACTAATATTCATTCTTTGTTCACAATCTCCTCATCACAGGCAGGCACAGCACTCATTTCAACATGTGTTTGTGTGTGCTGTCTGCATCACTCATAGCACGTGCTTATATCATGCGCTATATTGGAATTTTTTTCTATCTTTATCAAAGAAGGTGTACCGTCGATGAATATCGATACCGTTTTATCGGCCAGGCCTTATACTGTGTGTAAAGCAAGTAAATAGTTAAGCAAGCATTAGGGATGCACTGAAATTAATATGCTGGGCCGAAACCGAAATTTCTGGATGCACGTGGCCGAAAACGGAAATTGAAAATGCTTTGTAATAATTATTTATTAAATAATATAAAGTAATTTTGTCAGACCAGTGAACGAGAGGGTAGCATCATTTTACCAGCTTTGACATGTTACAGCACAGTAGCTCTATTGCAAACAGGAACAAGTATGCTACATAGAAATTTCCTGTCTGCGCATTATTTAAGCGGGCTATGCCTTTCCAGTGAGCAGTAAATTGAGCGGAACACATATTCATAGAGCGGAATGCTGAGCGGCTAGTGACAACGGCTAGAGGGACAGTGAAACCTGCACGCTGAACACTGCTGGGAGATGTGGCGCGGCATATTTTCATCAGTTTTTCTTTTTCTGCTGAAAACCGAAAATGCCATTTTCGGACGATAATTTTTAGCGGCTGAAATTTCGGTGCATTCCTAGCAAGCAGCATATATTATTTATCAAAGTCAACCTAGTGGCACACATTTTATTATTACACACTACTCTTTAAATGTTTCCTCCCATATATAATCTGTGTTTGTGGCAAGTACACTGCTCAGACACATGAGCTCGGGATTGTATTCCCCCTCAATTATGAACAATAGTACGTCTCCTGATAGAAAGCTCTAGTCATGTTTATAAAGAGTCAGCAGGTTTTATCATGACAAGGATTTAAGCCAGGTGATGCCCTGGCCTAAAAAGCGTCTCTCTTAGCCCAGACTGACGCCTCATTCATTCAAAGCCAAACGTACACGAATAAACAAAAATTGTCTAATGCAAAACCTAGTGAGCTTCCTTGTTGTCTCCATGCATCATACAAATAGTGCTCTGCATTGAAAGTGCGCTGGAATCCTGGATCTCAATTCATTTGAGTAGAATTTGCGAGATTAGTTCGCATGTTGCAAAGTTGGTGATGTGATTCTCTTATAAGCATGAAAATACACTATACGCAAATATTGTATAATAAAAAATAATGTAAATCCACCTTGGATAATTTTTTTTCTATTAATATGCTGCCTATATATTCATTTTATTGACTATTACTATAATGGTAATTGTGCAGGAAAATGTTGAATTTCCATAAAAATAGTGCCACAATGCAACTAACATTAAAGGTTCTAAATAGACATAATTTCCTTTGCACAAAATAAAAATTTTCTTTCTGTCTGTTTATTTTGAGGTGAAATATGACCTGGAAATGTTTTTGACGGATTTGTGATATTTACCCATAGGATCTTCATTTCTTAAAATTATTTTGACTTTGACAAATAATGTTTGCTTTATTAAAATGAAGAATTAAATGCATATTTATAATCATTATTATAACATTTCTCTGGTTTCATCCATCACCTGGGTGCTAATTTTTCATTCTAACATGCTGCCAGTGTATTACTCACGGCTTCATTCAGAACATTATATGTCTTATTCTGAACTGATATCTGTATTGGAGGAGGTGTTGGGTAACTATCTCAAGTGACTGTAAGCTTGACTGAAATGTGGTTAGTCACATTTTCGGTGTCATCACAAGTACCAAGAACTAATAATAACACACCAGTGGTGTTTACTAATCCAGAATAATCTAATTCTTACTGAAATCTCTGATGGTTTGACTTTTATTCCACCCTCTTGCATGGGGATGGAAGAGCTTTGTTGACCCTCGGGTGAGGGTTAATCTGGGATGTACCTAAAGGTGGGTTCCTCGTGTCAGTCTGCTAGTATCCAGATTAGACAGAACGCTTTTCCCAGGTGCATCTTAGATTGGTGAAATGATGCCTCACCTCAGCTCACCAGGTTTTGAGCAGCTTCTCTTCAGCTCTGCTCTGCATTTCTGTAAGCTGAGATAATGTGTACTTTTGTGTGCCTCATGGACACTGATGACAGAAACTGTTACAGATGAGTTTGAGGTGAAATTTATGACATGGATCTCAGTGATAGAGTGTGCAGTATTCACCTTTGACCTTTCCTAATGGGACATAATTGCCTGATCTTGTCATCCTGAGGGCAAGAGTTTGCCATTACGTTTGCAAGATAATATGTTTACAAACAATTGAGTTTGAACTGTATTTAGGTGTAGTTCACATTGCTTAACCTCAATATTTGATATTAAGGGGAAACAAATCATTTTGTGTGGTTTTTTTAAGCATAATTTTCCCAGTACATTTACACAGTACTACAGCATTTAGCTAAGGCTTATAGGGGCTTGTTAAAGGGTGAGCAGTGTGTCCAAAATACATACCTGGATATTACATAACTGTGTAGTAATGTCTATATTTTGACTCACATAAATACTCAAAATCCAAATGCTTTAGTTTTTATTTTCTGGCATGAGTGCAAGAACGGCTATTTCACATTTATGCTGTACCATTCAAAAGTTTAGGGTCAGTAAGATTTTTTTTCTTTTTGAAGAAATTGATACTTTTATTTAGGAAGGATGCATTAAATAGATCAAAAGTAGAGCAAACACATATTGTTACAAAAGATTTCCATTTCTAATAAATGCTGTTCTTTTGAACTTCATTCATCAGAGAATCCTAAAAAAATTATTATACAAAAATATTAAGCAGCACGACTGTTTTCAGCATTGATAATAAGAAATGTTTCATGAGCAGAAAATCAGCATATTAGACTGATTTTTGAAGAATCACGTGACACTGAAGACTGGAGTAATGGCTGCTGAAAATTCAGCTTTGCATCATAGGAATAAATAACATGTTAAACTATATTTGACTGTGTTTCTTATCAAATAAATGCTGCCTTGGTGAGCCACCTTTTTTCAAAACATTACAAAATCTGGCCCTAAACTTTTGAACAGTCTATGGAACACAAAAGGTAAAAATGACTCATTAGCTAACTCAGATAGGTAGCCTAATGCATTATAAATAGGACTTGGATATGTTTGAAACCGCTGGCACTATGGTTTATTTCAGGGGCGTAGCCATTATTTCAGAAGTGAGGGGGACAGAAATGTTTTATATATTTATATATATATA